AGAGAGAGAGAGAGAGAGAGAGAGGGAGGGAGGGAGGGAGGGAAAGGAATGATAATAAAGCGGAAACAGTAAAAACGTAAGTTTGCATGCGTATAGCATCACGAACGTCACTTAGATCGATTTCCATAGCCGGTTTGCGATATAACGGAAATGGGAGATCACCTAGCACATCCGTGTCGCCTGGGTAATTTTCGGAATTAGGATTGACCGGAAAAAGACATAGATCCTCTACTATTTCGTAATTTTTTAAGCTGTCCAGGTTAACTCCCAATTCCTGGGCCATCGTGTGAACGTCTCGATGTAGATGGATCCTCTCCTGCTGTAAGTCTTGTATTTGCAGCCCCTGAAATTAGGAAAAACGTATAATCACATGTCCCGCGTAACATTGCTAATAATATGCACGTAATATAATCACGATTTTCATATTAACAGTAATAGTAACAGCGTGACCAGACTTATTACTACTGCTACAGGCACAGAGAATCTCGAAGCGCTCCTTTTCACGTTATTCACGTGTACTCAAGTGCTCGTTACGTAACGGTTATTAAGTTATTTCACAGTTGCGGGCAAGTAATGGAACGGCTACTTTTTCATGCGTTTGTAGAGATTATCATACTTATTATACCAACCCTCATGTAATTGTGCAGCCTGTACATGTGAGGCGGACTTTTCACAGGATGCAAAGTAATGGCACGATGAACCTCTTTTTTCTTGAGATTTCCGGTGAACGCTTGGGTCCCGCTGCTGTTGTGATAAAGAATGGACTGCATCTGCGGCATCGTCGTGAACGTATCGTGAGTGTCGCTGATTTTGCGTGAGTGAGCAGTGCACAATTATTGCCGAAAAATCATTTCGTCCTTTCATTATACGACTGTCTTCCAATATGTGCTAGTTGTACGCTAATTATATCCTAATGAAACAGCATCTCTTTCTTGTGAGATTCCGCGACAGTTTTGAAATTTAATAGAATTTTCTCGAATCAATTGCCACACGCTTCAAGTGACGTGAATAATGAAAAAGTGAATAATGAAGAAGTAGACAAAATCTCTATTCTGCCAAAATTTATATAGTAATATACAATGAGACGTAAAACGGTTCAGACATAAAGAATTCGAGAGCGTAACCAATGATCCAATCCGAGAGAACTTATTTTTGACTAATTCGTTTTCTTATTGGACTATTGGACTGTATTCTGAAGTTCATCATGTCTAGACCGTTTTACGACCTACTGTATCTCCTTCATTTGACGATCTCCAATCGACTGGTACGACTAGTTCGACTGGTTCCGGCTCGCTTTCGGCTGAAATTAGCTTGAGCGCGACGAATTAAAATCTCTTGAATCGTATACTAGCTTAATCATCGTGACAATAGCATCGCGTCTGTCGATTTCGAGCAAGTCGCGTGTACTAGCACGCTCCGAATGTCTGAATGCACGCACGAGCGAGCCTCGGTAAATGGCAATTAGCACAAGCAGAAGCGGAGTTAAAGTACGAACTTCCTGCCTGTGCACTACGACCTATAATAATTACTATTAAGAACGTCGTATCGCGGCGTCTGGAGCGAGACGCCAAACCCGCGGAGCAAGTGCTAATCAGCACTGTTCAACTGGGTGTGGTGGTTTCTTATTTCGCAGTATTACAGCTGCGTTTCTCGATGGCCGGCGACATGCGTCTCAGAGTGCCGTTCAGAGTGATGCTCGTGCGACAGTTATCGAAGTGTTGTAAAAAAAATTAAAATCTTGCCTTTAGAACCCCAATGAAATTTTAAACTTTTTTAACTCTTCTTCGGCTGATATGTAAAAATAGAAACTAAGATAAAACCTATAAATATTTCGAGTATCCCCACCACGATTGTAGAACTTCAGCACGCAACTTTACTTCTTTTTCACTTGAGTTTTACGACGGAAAATTCACAAATTTCTTTTGGGACATAAGTGAGAATTTTACTTGACTTTGAATTTCTTTCATTTCTTCTTTTACTACACGGAAAAAGAACTTCAGGTAATAGGATTAGACAGAAACTCGCTGACGAGAAACAATATTTCTGTTATTGTGACCAAAAACATTTGTCTGAGCGCATTCAGCTGTATTGAAATTCGCTTGAGGTAAACGAGAGTAATTAACTGATAAGTAAAAACCTCCAACGGGAATCTTTCTGTCCCAACAACCGAGTCTTCCATCTGATCCCCAAATAACAGAAAATTCAGCTACACTAATGAAGTTACTTTTTTCTCATGTGTGAGCATTTCATATGTGTCTCCGCTTCGAATTACACTTCTGTAATAACAATCCTTCTTCTACTGTTTCCATGGTTTGCTAAGCTATTTCGTCGAATATAAAAGCGACTTGATATTCCGTTCGGGTGACTTGAGATTTCGCGTCGCCACCAAGGGACACCAATTCCTCCGGGATTAATGTGCAATATCGCAGCGAGTTTATTGATCCTCCCGGCGAAATAGACGCTATGAGACACTACGCGTGACCCACTGGCGAGATCGTAATTCCCTTATCGAATCTCAAGAGCGCGCCCTGGTTAATCAATCAATCAATTACGCTGCGCACTGAATGTGCAAAAATGACCGGCGGCAAACACGGTGCAAGCGTTGCATGCCGCATGAATGATTGTTAAGTGTTTCGACCTTACGTCGAGTGCTAAGACGAGAATGAATGGTCTAGCCAGTAGGTTAGCAGGGTACGATTTGTTCGGACCTAACGAGTAACATCCTCATCCGTGCACTTTACCTTTTGTCCGTTGCGACTGTAATATCAACGTATATCATCAGGAGTCGTACGCATCCACGCAAGTACACTAAGCTTCAATCAAACCTCAGTGTTTACTACACACCAAAACTCTGTCATCGATCTATCTGATCGGCTTTGTCTTTGGAGATAACATGATACAACATGACACGATATATAGCTGTAGTTATGTAAGACTGATCTAACCAACGGAATTATGATTTTCGAGTCTTTGTTTTTTATCGATGGATAAATCCATATGTCCTTCTACATAAAACAAATAAAAATCCAAGCTTTGTGGACGCTTAAAATTTATTGAAAAGACATATTTTTAACACATTTTTTAAGGGTTTTTTGTCAATGCTTACCAATGAATAAAGAAAAAAATTGGCCATGCTTAACTAAAACGGCCGAAATTTATACTATAATTGAAATTTATGCTATAATTGTAAATATTCGCATCATTTTTAACAATTGGATTATTTATTATATAATCACATTCACTCTCAGCTGTAACACTTGCATATGCTACGCATGTTTTGAACGATTGCGAAGAACCTCAGTGCTATTTGTATTTTACAAATTGTGTATAAAACTTCCATCTTCATTTTTTTCGAGATATACTTCACGTGGATTGGATCATTTTCACGTAACTACAGCCACATATGGGAGATTGCCAAAATAACAGGTCAGCCGAATCAATCACGATCATAATGTACTACGCGCAATATCCAAATATGATGTGAACAAATGGAGAGACCGAGGCAAGTTTCGGCCTGAGGCAAATGTTAAGGCTTTATTGAAGCTTGGTGAGGCCAATCATGCGGTTTCTCTAGTCTTATTTGAAAATTTGTACCACGCACTCCGTTTACGGCTCCCGCGTCAATTCTATCCAATTATCATGATGTACGCTTCGAAGATTTAAGCACTCCGTGGCACAAATTGTTACTTAAGCGGTACGATCTAATGCGGCCGAGTGCAAGATGGAGAAGAATAGCTCGATTTGACCATTGGGTTAGAGTACAGGGTACGATTTACTTATTTAACGACTAACATCCTCATCTCGGCGCGTTGTATCTTCCAACCTCTAATACGACGGTGATCTACCTGATGCCGAGCACGTATAGCTCGAACAAAATTTAAATCGTTAACTTGTCTATCGCATTAGGCCCGCGATCTTCTTATGCGACCGTTGCTCCGTAATTCCTGATCAAGTTACTCGCGTAATCTCAATTGTCGGAACGAGGAGATTTGAGATTTAGATAATTTGATCATGGATGGCAGTTTGTGTTTATTTTGACATGCATCTAAATATAACGTTTTTATCATCGTGAGATGCTGAGATAATAGGTAGGCACACACAGAAAAATATAATTCTATTGTTAAGAAAAGTGATTTATTTTCCTTCTCTGAAGTAATGATTACCTTCAACAAAGAGAAAAATGTTCTCGTGATAATAGTCAAGATATATGTACATGCATGTCTAAAGATATAAGTGTTGGTCTACAATTTCGCTTTAAACTTTAAGTCGTAAGTAACTGATCAATCGATTATTCTTGAGACGTAAGGAGAATAATTGACTGTGGTTAGTCAGTTGCTTAGAACTTAAAGCCTAAAGCAAGATTGTAGACCGACACTAAGATATTTTAAAGACATCTTACGTAAGACATTACCAAAAATCGTCTAAAAGACGTCTTATTTCAAATGTCTTTTAGACATTTCCCCAAAAGACATCTTAAAAATGTTTTAAAAATATCTTATTTCAGACACGGAAAAAAAGATTTGCTAATATATGGACAACTAAAAATATTAACTGCAGGAGCAAATTTTTTTGCTTTCATAGTAAAAGTTTATTTAGTTGTGATAGCTAAAAGATTTGCTAATATATATATTATATATTATATTAGATAGCTAATATATATATTAGCAAGTCTTTTAGTTATCACAACTAAATAACTTTTACTATGAAAGTAAGAAAATTTGCTCCCGCAGTTAATATTTTTAGTTGTCCATATATTAGCAAATCTTTTTTTTCCGTGAATATCTTTAAGATGTTATCAAAAAACGTCTTAAAGACGTTTGAAAAAAAACATTTTAGAGACGATTTAAAGACGTCTTATTTCAGACGTCTTTATGACATCTATTGAATAACATTTTTAAGGCTATATATGACTGTTTATATTACCGACTATGAAATTTACACGATGTTGCTATGGAAAACATTATAATGACTTAGTCTTTGTGAGCGTTATGTATGTGAGGCATGTCAAAATTTTGTAGAAGTTATTAAACTGTTAATTTTTATAATTTGGTCAATTTATTTTTAAATTGCAGTGACGAATGCTTTAAATTTTGTGTCGATGGCGATTGCTCGCTCGCGATTATATTTAAGAGATCACTTTAAAAAACAAGCAAAAACAGCTCACATTAAAACTGTAATAAAATTCTGTGATTTAAAAAAAAAATAGAGAAAAAACGATAGAATCTCTAGCAACACATATTAGTTGGCCAACAATTGGCTGTTGTAGATTCTACATCGGCTTCTATAGATTCAACATTAGTTCAATATTTTGTATTGCTCGGGAAAACTCGTGACGCGAGTTTTGGCGCACCGCGCCGAGACGTAAGAGCAACGATACAAGCACGGGCGCTTATCTTTCCCCTCGCCGCGCGCCGCTTACCGTTTCTTAACCAACTGAACCGCGTTAATACCCAATTTCTTCACCTCTAGTGAACTTTATCTATCAATTATCCCATTAAAATTGACCAATCGTATTTATAGTTGGCAAGAATTAATCAATCACAGTTAACATTTAACCGATAAATAAAGTTAATCGAAGAAATTAAGCATACGTCTCGAGCGATTTCAGCGGCTCGAGCGCTCCTCTCTTTTTCCAAATTTCCTAAAACTAATTTCTCGAAAACTATTGCGAATATGGCAAAACGGTACTTTCTTGCTCCTCTCAATCCGTTTTACACTCTCGCGAAGCTTGAGAATAGTGATCTGAGACACCTTATACAAAACTTTGAGAAAAGAGTTGGTTCGGCTCTGTGTAGTAAGCAACTGGATTTCTATTTTAATTTTGTATTCTTTTGGTTGAAATACTGAATTTGGACTAGGACTCAGAATGTCTTTTGAATATATTTGATAAACTAGTGATAGATTTGCGGAGATATAAATTTAGGGTACAGCGGGGTAATTTGGATAGTGGGGTAATTTAGATAATATTAAGCGTTTGCGACAATTTCAGAAAAATATAAGACGCCATGTTTTATGTTTGAGGTTAGCAGTAAAGAAGATACTGGTCTACATATTCATACAAGTTTCAAAGAATATTTGTGAATCTGAAGGTCTGTGGAATATTTTATATTAAGTAGGATATATAGAAAACTTCTGTTACTGCAGTTTCTGTTGTTATTGCAGTTTATAAGAATATATTCTGCTAGCTTAAGTTTTTATAAAATCTACGTAAAAGCTATGATAACAATATAACCTAAAAATGTTTCCCGCATGTATTAGCGATCACCACGTCGACTAGTAATGCATTTTGTTGAGTTATGATAGTACTATATTACAATATTTTTATATGGCGTACGGGGTAATTTGGATATATTTTTATGGGGCAATTTGGATAACGCACTCAGTTCCCTATATGTATATTTCAATTGTTTTAAGACACATTTCGTTATTTTAAATAGTGAGACATTATGAAAAAAGGATACTCGACTAAATTGGAACAAAGAAAGTATGAAGCAATGGTATCATGAGCAATACGTTGAAGCCAAAGGAAAAAACAGTTCATTTGTGGCCCTCGTATATGAATTTTTTATGTAACACTAATATGACTATTTTTTTCTCTTATTAATTGTCTTAATTTTTGTTTAATTTTGTTTTAAAAGTGAAATTTAATATAAAAAACACAATAGATAAATATAATGTTTTGCTTTTATTATAATATTATAATGTTCATTATAATTATTGTTAATTATTATGTTAATATAATTATAATTATAATGTTAATTTTAGTTAATGTTAGTTTATTTATGTTTATTGTATTTAAAATATTATATGGGACTAACATGATTACTTTGACTTTTTAATTTGTATTCAATTTTATTACACGTTTTTCTAATTTATGTTCAATTTGATTTGAAAAATATAATAAAATGTTCAAAAAACAACATTTAAATACATGATTTAGTTTTTGTTATTAATGTTCATTTTTAATGTTATTCAAATTACCCTTTAAGATATCCGAGTTGCCCCTCAAAATTGATCCTTATTAAAATTGTAGAGGTAAATTGGATAATGGCATTTCGTCTTAAGATTTAAAGAGTAATTTCTCATATATTGGGTAAATACTCCTTAAACATGTGAGTTTCCTGTTACATATTCAATGTAAGGATAAAATTATTATTTCTCGAGAAATTGTTCAAAAAATTTGAAATTATCCAAATTATCCCGCTTTATAAATGCCGCTTATATGAAATGTTTAAAATAAGTAATATTTCTTTTAATCCATTAACGCTCAAATGTAGTGAAATTTTACATTGATTTGAGCCATTTATTTTACTACGGAAATGAGGTCTGTTGTTTATAAAGAGTACCATTCCTACTAATTTCGATATCGCTTTATCAAATAGCATTGAAAAAATTTTTTAAAAAATTGCAATTTATGCAAAATTTTTGCAAAATAAAATAAAAAACGCATATTTTTAGGACTAATTTTTCTTCTTCCGCTATTTTCTCCATAAAAACGTGTTAGTATCGCTCGAGAAAATGTCTAAAACGTGTTCTCGACACTTTAACTTAAAAAATATGCCATAGGTATTTTTTTCAACAAACATGGCGATACCAAAATGACGATCGATTTGAAGCGTTTAATTAAAATTTTCGTTTATATTTAGTTATCGAAATTGTTTTAGGATCAATATTATTACAAAATTAGTAATTTATATAGTAATTACATAGTAAAACAATTTTAATAACCAAATATAAACGAAAATTCGAATTAAACGCTTCAAATTGACCGCCATATTTATTGCAAAAAATACCCATGGCATATTTTTAAAGTTAAAGTGTCGGGAACACGTTTTAGACACTTTCCTGAGCGATACTAACACGTTTTTATGAAGAAAATAGCGGAAGAAGAAAAAATTTGCCCTAAAAACATGCGTTTTTTTATTTTATTTTGCAAAAATTTTGCATAAATTGCAATTTTTTTTAAATTTTCTCAACGCTATTCGATAGAGCAACATCGAAATTGGTAAGAATAGTACACTTTATAAACAACAGACCTCATTTCCGTAGTAAAATAAATGGCTTAAATCAACGTAAAATTTCAGCACATTTGGACGTTAATAGGTTAATGCAGTATGCATTGTTCTGTATGCAGAATCGCGAGATCTTAAGATTGAGGCATACTCAAAGAAAAGATGTGACGATGACAACTATATAAGTGTGAACTATGCGAGTTTTGTATGTAGAATTAATGTATATTATAAATTACTTTGTGGTTATTGCAGCTAAAGTCGGATGGTCGGATGGTTAAGAGAACTGCATAATTACAATGGACGGATTCAGCAGAAAAAGCGCTCAGTAAGCAATCAGCGATTATTGGTTTTTACTGTTAAATCCCTAAATCTAGACTAATTACATTGACAAATTACTCAACTATTATACAACTGTTGAATCTGCTGAGTGCAGCTAATATAGTTCAACTTCAATCGTACTAATTACAAAATAGGTAAGTAATATACATTAAAATTCTACATACAAAATACATAGAAAACTCGTACAGTTGTCACCTATATAGCTGCCACCACCACGTCTTTTCCTCTGAATGTAGGAGCGTGTGTAACGTCGAATAAACCAACGGCTAATCTGCCGTGCATATGTGTTAATCAACAAATCGTCACACGCCACGCGCGTCCCCGCGACATACACACTTTCACACGCACGATACAGTTTCGGCGACAAACAGAAGGAAAAAAGGACAATCTTAAAATAATTTCGAGATCACGTAGATTGCGGAATGTGTGAAAGAGTAACACTATTCCCGGAATTCCGAAAGTGAAGGAAAATATCATAGTTACGAATGCGTAGATAGTAATAATAATGACTACCGTAATGAGATTATACGTAATTATCGTATAAAAAATCAAAAGGCAAAAGCGCAAAATACGCGGTAAGTTAAGAAGCGACCTTGCATCCATCGGTTTCACGTTGCATATAGATGGAATATCACAGTCGTATGCTATCGTTTCATTAAAGGCGCGTTATCTCATTCCTGATCCAAGTAGCCTCTCGTTAAGCACGCGCGAGATCAAGGTGGGGAATAACGTTTTGGCAATCAACAAGGTGGATATATTTAACGTGTGTTTTCGTTGTTTTACGATAAGATAAAATTCGAGTTACTTATCTACGCGCAACGTGTCGTACCTGCTTCACGACGACAAAACTGAACGAATCGATAGGTTGCGAGCACTCCTCTGCGCAGCAAGGAGAAAAAGCGAGAGATTATCGGGGATGAAACTTTCATGAGACAGGAAAGCCGCCTTCTCCCTCTGTCTCGCTATTCTTAGCCGCACACTTGTGAATGAAAATGCTCCGTTTATTTCTTACATCCGGCATGATCGCGCATCTGCTTGAGCACCGCTCCTTCTTGTTCGTACAATGATCGAGAATAAAAGTTACCTCATAGCTCCAAGTGCAGGGAATCCCCGCGTACTTCTTCACGCATCTGCCCAGTTCGACGTCTTCATGCGTAGTGTACAAGTGACGCAGACAGTATTTGATGTGCGGCACGATCTTCCTCAGTGTTTCCCTGGACAGCACGACCCCCGGACCACCCATGCAGAAATTCTCGTCGTAGTCCAGCGATAGCAAGCCGAACTCCTCCGAGTTCCCCCTGCCGGCCTGGCCGATGTACATTGCTCTTCTGGAATCGACGGATCTTAGCAGCCTCTCCAGCCGATCGGTTCTCACGTACACGTCGTCGTCCGCCCGCAGGAACCACTCGAAGCGATCACCGAAATTGCTCCACATGTATTGCAGCATCATAAAGGACTTTTTCTGCGGCGGATAGGTGTCGTCCACCCGCGGGAGTGGCACCAGCGGCAAATCCGGGCAGTTTTCCGGGACGGTGGAGGATTCCGACGAAAAAAAAGCTATCTTGCCGGGTAACTCCTTGCCCCAGGTCTCGTAGACGGCTTTAGCTCGCGTGTCCAGGTACTTCTGAGCCGTCATCACGCCCACGAACACGAGACTCGAGGTCGAGCTGTTGATTCGCTCGTCGTCCTTCAGCTCCGGCATGTTTTGAGCCGACGCTCGCGGCGGCGACCGCACGCCAGGCATGGAAGTCCACATGGCGACCTGCTGTTGCTGATTGGAAACGATCAGACGGTAGCTGAGTACGAGGAAACCCAGAAGTAAGCCCACGAAGAGGCCCAGAAAGGCGCTGCCCAGTCCACGCCGTTTACGCATCACTGGATACGTCACCTCTCCCATTTGTGCTTTTCTTCAGGGGTTCCTGGGTCTTCGGTCATCTTCGTCATGATGTCTGCGATTATCGGCTCGACTGTAGCAATTAGCTCCGTCAGAAGATTTTCTCCGGTCAATCCCATCGCTTCGCCTTCTGCTAAAACGGAGAGACTATCTTCGAGGTGCGGAAAGCCTGCGAACGAAATCCTGTTTTGTATTATTCTGGTCGACAAAACTTCGGAAACGAAACCGTAAAATATATTAATTCGTGCCTTTTTTGACAAAACTTCGGAAACCGTAAAATACATTAATTCGTGCCTCGTGACGTTTCAACTCGTGATATAAAAAGTATCGATTGTGTGTTATTATATTGAGAAAATATTGTAATTTCTTTTTCATATACATTTAAAAAAATTTTTCTATATACTTTAATATACTTATAACTATATACTTTAATAGTAGATTGCCAGTAAGATCTATCTCTTGCTAAGGAACAGTAAATTTCGCCAAAAACAGCGAATATTTTAATAGTAATACATTTCAGTTCCTAAAATATAAGTAGCACACGTGAAATGAAAAGATCATGAATTATTGCAGAATGTTAATCTATTCCTCAGTTACAAAGTTCTGTAGTAATTTTTGCCATAAAATTCTCTCAATGTGTCACATATTTTTTAGATTTGACGTAAGACCGTAAGAAATCTTTCTCGGAAGACGGTTTTTTCGCGGAAGCGAAAACGACAGATTGCCTTCAGAAATAACAGAGATGTGTTTGAGGTCTTAAACAAATCTATCAGTGGTTGGACCTTGATCCGCGTGTTATTCGTAAAACAAACTTTGGTCGCTTAGCTTCGCTTCGCGAAACTGCCTTTGCATCGACTATAGTCACGCAGCATTTTACGAGAGAAACTCGAATATAGCTATTCTCACGAATCGTTGGATCATCAATAATGAATATTCATTATCGGTATTTGGGAAGAATCTTTAAACATATAAGTAGCAGATTCAAATCCCGCGAGATTTGATGATTAACTCACGGCAAATTCTTCCTTTAAAGCGACGAAGAACGCCATGTCGTCCCGTGGCAGCGGTCCCAGGATGAATGCGTACGTCGGGAAATCTGGGAACAAAGCGAATTACGAACTGTACGTTGCAATATCACCGAAATGTTGACAGGTTTCGATATGCGCGATTTGGGGGGATCGAGGTCGCGCGCGAGTTAAGCAATAAGGACTCGAACCGCCGACATAAGCAATTAATACTCAGTCATTTTTCATCACCAAACATTGCCTATAACGAACGTCTTATTATAATATCAATTGCGGAAAAAATGTACATCAGTTTATTGTAATTTGATCTAATGATGCGAATTAATTATCTTTTTAGGTAGCACTCTCTCGCGTGGCATTTCTCAGCTTAAAAATTTGATAAACATCTGTTTCATAATTAATGGTGAGATAAAATCGTGATTGCCGATTCTCCGACAGTAATTACATTTGTACTAAGAAAAAATAGGTCTAAAGAATAAAAGACATTTATTCGATGAATATTATAATAACATATTCATTTAATCTTTATATTCACTTAAATTTAAATTCTTTTATTTTTTCTTTTATTTTTTAAAATTCTATTTTCTTATAAACAAAATTTATTATGTGGCTCAAGATTTGAACAAATCATAAATTATAAAAAGTACTAAAAGAGCCTAATATTACGTATGTTATACACTATAATTAAATCTTAATACACATAAACGTTTCGATTAAATGATGTGATTCTCCTTATAAACTCAATATCGCTATGGTCAAAGAATATAAATGGTTGTTCTTATACAGTTGTTTGGTGGAATCTCCGACGTATCTCGTTGTTCCTAAGTTGTGTGGGAATACGATAATAAAACTCATACACAAATAATAGCACCGCATTACAAATAATTCGCTCACCAAGGAAATGAAAAGAGATATCCTCCAGTCCAGCAGTCCAAACCAGTCGAATATAGAGACGTTGAATAATATTTACTTTCTGCTATTTGATTTGGTCCGTGATAGACAATCATGATGCCTGACTATATTTCTTGTCTTATTTACATTCCTATTTTTTCTTCCTCGTGACATAAGGCTTAATACCGTTTATGTTTTCGTTTACTAGTTAGAGTTGCCTTTATAAGTCATATGTTTGAAATTGTATGCACACTTCAATAAAGACTATTACTTATTATAAGTATTTTTAAAGCCTGTTATTTTTGGATTGCTCGATTGGAGAATATCTTTTCATTTTTTTGGTGAGCGAATTATTTGTAATACGGTACTATTATTTGTGTATAAGTTTCATTATCGTGTTTCCACACAGCTTAAGAACAACGAGATATGCGTCGGAGATTCCACCAAAAATAGCTATATAATATATAGCGACATTGACTTTATATTGAGGAAGACCACATCATTTGGTCGAAACATTTATATATATTATTATTATTAAGATTTAATTATAGCGTATAATATATGCAACATTAAGTTCTTTTTTCATTAGTCCTTTTTTATAATTTATGATCTATTTTCTTATTTTTTATTTAAAATCTTTTTTTTTAATTCTATTATTTAAATAAATATAGTTGCTTTCATGAAAAGCCAAGGTTTTAAGAAAATGTATACTTTTTTGTAGGAATACAGAATGACAGTGTTCGGTGTTTGATTATCATTAGACTTTTTTGCCACGCGAATTAATTTATTGCATTGGAATATTATTTACCGAGATTCGACAATAGGCAACACTCTTCTCTCGGACTGCTGCCTCAGCCAGAGAATATCAACGCTCTTTTCTTTTCGCAATAACGTTAATGAGACGACAAAAATATTTTCGTCTTTTACTTGCTCGTCGACTTCCGATCCAATGTCTCTTCGTTAGTTTTTTACAACATGCTATTTGTTTGGTTTCAAAAACACATGATACAAATATAGCAATAATAACAATAAGCGAAATACGTCGAGAATATAAAACATATAAAATGACGTAAATATACATGTACAATACGCGCGATCAAAACAGATAAATAAAGACAAAAACTATTCGGCAACGTAGCAATTATATTTAACGGCCACGTTCAAATTTGAGGATACACACGACACTTTCATTTAAAAAATATTTTTTCTCAGTATAAAAAATATTTATATTAAAAGTGTAAAAAATATGTATATTAGTATAGGTAAGTATTAATATCGCGCCACGCGTTATTAATATCCACGAAAATATTTCAAGAAAATATATTTTATTTCTTATAGACATATTTTCTCTCAGTGTATATCTCAATTTTTTTGTAGATGAAATTATCGCTACTTAATATCTTTCAAATAAGATTTTAATATGTTAACGTTAATACGCTGGCTAATATTTAAAGGGTCGCACGATCATTTCAAGGACAGAATCGTTCGAACGGAAGAACTGCTAATTTTTAATGAGATATTGCGACAATTTGCGGGCGACATTGCGGGTTTAAAAGATATTTCTGCACGATCGGTGCTTAATGCCCGGCCATGTGACAGCTGTGATAATGAGAATGGGAACAAAGCGAGCACTGTGTATATACGTAGAAAGTCGTGAAATATATGGCAAACGCGGGACGCAGTGCGCTCAGAAAGGAGAACCCGACGCCGTTACGAGTTTTTCTTACAGCGAATTAACCGTACGGTTCTGTTATTTTCCCGATCGCACGCAGGAATGCACGTCCCGCTTGCAAATCCGTAACGGATCACTCGCGTCTTTCTGTTTCATCTATCTGCGATTAATAATAATCGATTTTATCCGCGCTCACCACGGCAGAACTAACGCGTTCCGATCGCGCGATTTTTCCACCTGCGCCATACAGTGGTGTACGCGGCGTGAGCTTTGCCAAATGTATGTCAGTGAAAGATCTTTCCGCATCTTTAAGCAAACATTTGTACGGCAAATGTTTCGTGTTACATCTCTGAATATGAGTCGAGTTCTGCACGGTTCTTCCACACAGAATTGACGATGGCTCTTGGTTTCGCACATCCTTCCTAAAATCGTGTCCACGTCGTTATCTTTGATTTATTTCGCCTAAATCAGCGTGGACAAAGACTCGACCGTTGCTGGAACCGGTTCTCGGATCAGTTGACACGCGTATAAGCACACGGCGGCAAAGTAATATCGAGTAATAACGTGAGATTTTCAGCAAAACTCAATAAACGAATCTTTCCGGTTCACGGAGTCTTCGATTCACTGTGACACAATCTTTTTCGTAACACAATTAGGCAATTTTTCAAGCCGCTACGTAAACGCCTAAATAATTCTTCGCTGGAACGCCACAATGAGAATCGATAGCGATTATTGATATACACCGATTCTCGAAAATCATCGTAATACAGTTACACAATCGGACAGATAATTAAATTCGCGTAACAACACACGCCCTACTAATCCATTATTTATAAGATCGCGTCGATTGTGTTTGAGCAATTTTCGCACGCCCGCTTCCTTTCTCACACGTTGCACAGGATTATTAGAGGAAGAAACGCGTGCTTCCTGTTCAAAATTTCTGCGTATATGTGTGTGTGTGTGTGTGTGTGTGTGTGTGTGTGTGTGTGTTATCACGATGCGGCAAGCACAGCACGATCTCTTTTCAATTCACGATCAGATCGCGCCATGCGTAATTATTAAATTATTCGCAGAACACAATTAATCACCCTTCCAATTACGCCCCTCATTTCGCGCACGTTTCAACACGACGTATCTCTCTGGCGTTAAAGGTTGTCCGCATTTTATACTGTCTATATTTTATACAGACCTCAGACAGATTCTTGAAAACAAGAATATACTAAGCTCACTGTATTCTCTCAAATATTTATGACGATGAGTTGCTTTATGATATCGTAAGTTGGATGCACATTTGCGGCCGCACAAGAACTCACTATCAGCACCAAAACTCATCAACAGAATTCATTCAGACACTTTTTGCAAAATGTGAACTCCAGGCGCATGTTATCAGCAACACGTCAAATTACTAACTGATATCGCGAATGTGGTAGACGATTTGTAGAACCACATCCGCGGAGAAGCTAACACATTATGAAAAGAAATCCAACACTTTTTTGCAAAATGAGAATTCTAAGTGCGTACTATTAGTCACGACACGTCAAATCGTCAGCTGATATCGCGAGTGCTAGACGAATTTTGTAATTTGAACCACTCGTCGAACCATTCGCCGACACGTCGTAACAAAAAGTACTTTTCTGCAAAATAAGGATCTTCCAGGCGCGTGTTTTCAATCGTAGTATGCCAAATCAGCAATTGATGTCGTGAATGTGGTGAAACGAATTTTGTGATTTGCTGAACCATTCGAAGAAGCCAACACGTCATAAGAAGAGACGCATTCGTAACACCAAGTAGGTATCGATGATCGTTACCTTATCCCACGTTCCTTTTCCACTATTTCGAGAGAAAAAATCGTGTTAGATCCGGGTAAATAGCCAGAAAAATTGAGCTGTCGTCGACCCGTCGTGTCCGTGAGCAGAGCCAAGTAGCAACGTGGTAATCGCGATTACACGCACGACTTCTCGAATCCACGAAATCCCGGTGTTCGTCCCGTTAAAGGATACGCTTCGGAGTGACGTGTACGGACGAACGCGCGTACGAAAGGCGGGAGAACCGGTTTAAGCCGAAAGTCAGAACCGAAGAGCGCCGCTAGATAGTGCGTCCGGAGCGTCTAGTCTAGCTGATTAACAAAACGGGGAAGCGCATCGCGTATTTTTCCCCTTAGGTGGCCTTGTAAAATGCAGGTCGTTGTCGCACTAGCCACGAAATTTACGAAAACACGTAACGTCCAAATTGCGAGGAGATGCGACTAAATGATAATCGCCGAAATGTCAATTGATAGATCGCACGCTAAACTGGCTCCGAAAATCGATTTTTTCTGTTTTTCATATCATCAATCAATTTAGAAAAACTCAAACGCGGAAAAAATTTTAGTTGGATTTTAGTTAGATAGTTTAACCAGTTAGCTGTGTGGCCCTCTTTTAAAAATGTGTACCTAAATTGTATTGCATGACGAGTATACTCATCATAATGCTAAAAATTGCCATTTCTTCATGACGAGTATACTCATCATACACAGCTAACTGGTTAAACAAATTTCTGGTGAAACATGAACGAACCAGAAGATGCCAATTGACGTTATTAGAATTATATTAAAGTTAACTAGGAATCTTGTTAACTTCGACAGAATTCTAGTAACTTCAATCGGAATTTCTGGTTCGTTTGTATTTTACTAGAAACTTGCTTAATCCAAACGTTTTTTGCAAAATTTCAATTTTACGGAGAGCCAAAAATTTGATAACTTTCCCAAAACTACGAATTTTAATTTTAATTAGAAATTTTGGTTTTCGAGATTTTTAATTTTTTACGAAAAATTCATATTTAAGAATTTTTTCAAAGAGACAGAATTTCGAAACAAATTGGACGAAATCGCATCTTACTTTCGTCAAAAATCGAAAAGTTAGAGGATTCTCTAACTTGGCCGACGACATTTCTTCGAGAAACGACGCGACTAAGTGCGGAGAAGAGAAATATCGACAAATGAAAAAGGCAAATAAGAATCAATGTTGTTATTTATTGGTCAAACGAAACTTATATAATATAAAGATTTACAAAAATCGACAACTATAAAATAACTCTTATGCAAAATCGATTTTGTGAATCGTTGTATTATCAAAATTTTGTTCGGCCAACAGCGTTCACTCTTATTTGTCTTTCTTACTTGTCGAATTGATTGTGTATCTTGTGAGCCTTTTTGTTTTATACAAATCTTCAACTCAAGTCTCATTGACACTTTGAAGAAGTCACGCCGAAATCCAATTCGATATATATGGTTATAAATGCATGTAAGTACCAATACCGGCGATAAATGATCGACTAAAAAAGCCATAAAGAAGTACATACACTTCCACGAAAAAAATGCTTTTGAACTTCACCTGAAAATAGACTCACATCGCGAGCCAAATTTAGCTTATGAGCATGCCAGCTATAAAAACCTTTCGTTCCAAAGTAGCGATAAAGT